TAGATACATGATCTGTTTTTCGGCATTTCCAATGATAAAATCATATCAATTAATCAAATTCATTACAATATTAATCAAGAATCAAGATCAAAGCAAATTATTCAGAAGTAGAAAACAGTACCTATTTCTGCATTCTTAATGATACTTATTACTTTTGTTTCAAAATGACATGTCTATTTTTTTTTTTTTTTTTATAATCAAAGGCTAGATAAGAAATAGAGAGTAAAGATACATTTATTCAATTTAAAGTTGGGTTTTATGTTTATCATTTAACATAATATAACTTCACTTTCCTACACACACATTAAAGAGGTGGGGTCCACATGTTTTTCTTTCTCTTTCATCATTTCACTTTCTCTCTCCTTTTTTATGTGAGAGTTGGAAACAACACTTACATTATGTTACATAACACTAATAAAACCCTTTAAAGTTATGGGAAAATGTAAGAAATCAATTAATGTACCGTAGGTTTATTCGTCAAGTGAATAAAATATATTGGTTTTTCTACTTCATAATCATTAATTGTATGTCCGTGCAATTATTTATTTTCGTAAGGTCGCGTTAACAATTTCGCCCATGTAAATTTTGAACCGTAAGTTGAAAAAGCAGTAATGACATGAAATATTCTTATTTGCTTTTGAACGAAGAAGAATATCTTATTATATACTAGGGGTGTCAAAACGGGTTGACACGACACGAATTTGATACGACACGAATCTGACACGACACGAATACATCAACACGAACACGACACGAATTTTTATCCGTGTCAAAATCTTCAACACTGACACGACACGGATTTTTTGCGGGTTGACACGACACGACACGAATAACACGCAAAATAGGGGTCAAATCGGTAATTGACAAAAAAATATAAAAAAAAATGTTCAAAATTTTAAAAAATTAAAAAATAATAATAATAAAATAAAAATGAAATAATTAAAAAAAATATGGGTCGACACGAACACGAATACCTCGACACGAACATGACACGAATTTTTTTACGAGTCAACCCGAACACGAATTTTCGTGTCGTGTTGCGGATAACCTATATTGACACCCCTATTATATACTATGGGAAATAGAAGTATAATGTTATAGGAAAGTTGTTAAGTTATGTTATAGAAATAGGTGTTGTAGGACCCACACTTGTTTTGTTTTTTTATTTTTTGAAAATAAAAGTGGATTCCATAATCTCTATCTCTATAACATAACCTAACAATTTTCCTGCAACATTATTCTTCTTTTTCCTATATACTGTTTATTGAATATGTATCACTTTTGTATGTTAATCATACTTTTAATAATGTAGTTATGTTAAAATGATATGGTACCTATATAACAAACTAAATCTCGTTACATGCCACAAACAAATTTTTGAAAAATATTCTGAGGTTAGAGGATATGCTTTTCTCCTCGATAGGAGATTAGTCTTATCTTTTTTCTGGTGACATAACTTAATGTATCCGTTATTCCAACGAGGAGCTAACTTTTAGAGCCGTAGATTGAATAAAGATACCTCTAGCTTAAATATATATATAACTTCTTACCTGAAATTTCCTGTTAGAATAACATTGCGTCAATTAACTTTATTCCATCATCTGTTTGAAATTGTTGCTTTCGATTTATAAGCAGTTATATATTTATTTTTTTACACAGTCACTTCAATAAACAAGTATATTCTAAGATATTAGTTAAACGTGCATATATTTTGAGATATTAGTCGTGATCGAGTTGTTGTTAGGGTCCGTTTGTCGTTGGTTTTCTCTTCCACGCGGTTTGGACCATAAGGGTTTTCTTTTACTTGTAAATTCCAACACAGGAAACGTGTTTTATCCTAGACCAACTCTTGATTTTTCTTGCAATTGTTAGATGCATTACATTGAAATTGAAATTGAATAATCAACTGTGACATTTTATATCCTTTTCAAACTTGCAAAACATTGACAAATTAAAGAACAAAATGAACAGTGTAAAAAACAAGAAGTTAAAATAAGCGGAAATAAGTTGAGGAAGGTAGAGTAATTTTTTATTAAGCGTGATATATTATAAATACTTAAATGCATGAGATTAGGTAAATTATGTATGTTAAATAATGATCTCAATGCTTAAAAATGTCATGGTAAACTATGTTTAATTAAAAAAAATAGAATGGTAAAAGTCTTTTTCTTTTTACCTTATTCTCTAGAAGTTTCTTACTTATTAAATCCAACTTTATTCTTTAATTGTTAATAAATATCCTTTTTTGTATTTAAACTTTAATTCTCAAAATAACTTGCTTGTTATCAAACCCTTGTTGGTAAAGGTAATAAATTATATTAAATATAGGAAAAAGTTTTGGCTATTTGATCATTTTGCCCCTCATTAATTAATTAATAACCATTTTGCCTCTGATTCGAAACTATCTATCAATCTGCCCCTCTTTAATCGACTACTTTGCATGTTTAATCGACTAAATGGTTGTTGAGAGATTTAATCGACTAAATCTCCCTACTTAATCGATTAAAATCATACTGACTTATTTTTTTTGTCAAATATGGAGATTTAGTCGACTAAATAGGGAGATTTAGTCGACTAAATCTCCCAACAACCATTTTTTATCTGTTTTGGCTATTTAGTCGATTAAAAATGCTATGTAGTCGATTAAAGAGGGGCAGATTGATAGATAGTTTCAAATCAGGGGCAAAATGGTTATTAATTAATTAATAAGGGGCAAAAGGGTGAAAAAGCCAAAAAGTTTTTGTTATTTTAAATGACAAAAAGTTATGTCATTTTATGATAGAGATAGACACAAGAAATTATTTTTTATTAAAATTTAAATTAAAAAAAAATCACTCACTTTCTTTTTCATGATTTCTATTCTTTGTGTCTATCTCTTTCCTAAAATGACATAACTTATGTCATTTAAAATGACAAACATCTTTGGTTTGATGTTTTTCATTTTAGGAGAGAGATAGACACAAGGAAGAGAAATCATGGGAGAAAAATGAGTGATTTTTTTAATTTAAATTTTAAATAATTTTTTTATTTTGTGTCTGTCTCTCTTAAATTGACATAACTTTATCTCATTTAAAATGACAAACACTTAATTTTTTATTTTGTGTCTATCTCTCTCCTAAAATGACATAACTTATGTCATTTAAAATGACAAATATTTTTCGGCTTTTTGACCCTTTTGCCCCTCATTAATTAATTAATAACCAATTTGCCCTTCCCCAGAACTATCCACCATCCTGCCCCCATTTAGTCGATCAAGTTGCACTTTTAATCGACTAAATGGGCAAAATTCAGAAATCAAGAAATACGAATTTTAGTCGACTAAATATTCACCTTGATCGACTAAATGTTGTATCCGACTAAATGCTCACCTTGATCGACTAAATGCTCACAATGTTAAAACCTTCTGCTTCAAAAAATGTTGTATCAAGTGATTTGGCCCCACATATGGGTCGGTTAGCAAAGTCACGGACAAATGAATCATGAACCATGGGGTCATGCTCGAACAAGTATCCGAATGGGAGGTCGACAGGAGCGGGCTCTTCATCTTGTTGCCTTGACGAAGACGGACGGTCTTGTCGTACCTTTTTACGTCTCTCATTTCCCACGTTACTCGATCTTCTACGCTCAGCCATGGGAACAAGGGTACCTACAATGCAAGTGGAAACAATATCAATGGACAATAATAATATCAAAAAATTTTAAAATTCAACATAAAAAACTAAACCCTAACCCTATGTCATAAAACATAAAACAAACCCTAAACCCAATCAAAAACAGCAACCCAAACCCAAACCCTCAACCCTACACCCCAACCAAAACAGCAGCCCTAACCTTAACCCTAAACCCTAACCTTAACCCTGACCCTAGCCCTAGCCCTAGACCTAGCCCTAATAGGAAAACCAATCCTATACCCTAACATAAAAACAGAAACCCTTAACCTACACCCCAACCAAAACAGCAGCCCGGCCCTAACCCTAACCCTAGCCCTAAGCTACCACATCAACCCTAATCCATTACCCACACATCAAACTCAACACCCTACCCCTAACCTAAAGCCACAAAACCGCAAACAACCTTCTACCATAAACAATAAATTTAAAATAACAGAAACCAAAGCATGGAGAAAACAAAAAAAAAGCTAAACCTACAACCAAATGCAGTCAGAAAACGTTACCTACAATGTCAATTTCGCAAGTTGTGAACCAATGATGCTTCAATCGGACCTTCAAGGGATGAGATTCAGACTTGGTTGAGGAGAGGGGTTCTTGGGGCGTGGCCTTAGTCGACTAAAAGTGCTCGACATTTAGTCGATCAAGGCGAATATTTAGTCGACTAAAATTCGTGTTTATTGATTTCTGAATTTTGCCCATTTAGTTGATTAAAAGTGTAACTTGATCGACTAAATGGGGGCAGGATGGTGGATAGTTCTGGGGAGGGGCAAATTGGTTATTAATTAATTAATGAGGGGCAAAAGGGTCAAAAAATCAACATTTTTCCCATAATACAATTAGAAAAAATGTTTGTCCTTTTAAATTACACAACTTATATCATTTCACTTTTGCAAAGAGGTGGGACCCACACCTTTATTTTTTTTGTCCACTCTCTCCTCTTTTATCTATCTCTTACTCTCACTTAAAATGACACAACTTTACATCTTTAAAATGACACACACTTTACCCATAAAATTAATAAGGAGTGTATTTAGGTTTAGGATGAAATCTTAAACTGATTCCATTACGATGTATTTATAAGTTAAGAATATGTTTTTAAGGATTGCAATTGACTCTTAACGAGGAAATGAAAAAGTCATGAACATGAGGGAATATTTGATAAAGCGAAGATAGAATAGAATTCACTGTTTCCCATGATGCCATGGAAACAAAATTCCTTTCCCTCGACCGTCAATTTCTTAAATTCCGTAACCAACCTATCTTGTTAATTATTTTATTTTTTACTGTGTTTCCTTTCTTTCTTTTTTATTTCTCTCTCCTCAAAATTAGGCAAAATCCCAACACAGTAAAATTTGTTCATCCGAAGCAAACGAAACAATTTCCCATTAGAAAGAGTGGTTTCAATTTCAGCATCTTCTTCTTCTTCTTCTTCTTCTTCGTTCTAATTTATAAGAATTTACACATCTTCTTCAATCTTCGGTTTGCGTCTGTGACCTACATGCATATCTCACTCTCACCTCCTAACTGGCCTTCCCTTGCTAATCTCACCTGCGTCTTCGTCACCTTCCAATCGCAAAGGGACCCTTACCGTGATCGCTTGCTCGGTCACCGTCACCGTTGGCGGTGTCAGCAGTTGGAGTCTAGGGTTTCGTAGCTTTTGCTGGATAAATGCGTGTCACCTTGGATTTAGGGTTTTCGAGCTTGGTTCTCGTCACGGTGGTTTGTATCGTCGTGACGACGATCGGCTTCGTGGTTCGACGGAAATTGCGGCGTGCGGCGGCGAGGGCGGAGGAGGTTAAGAGGCTTCTGGTTCTGGCGGCGGAGGAGTCTGCTAGGGCCGAGAGCGAAGCTTTGTACCTGTACGACACCGTTTCCGTCGCTAAGAACAATCAATGCGTCGTGTGCAACTGTCCTACCACTACGCGGTGCGCACGGTGCAAAGCGATTCATTACTGGTACGCTCTCGGCTTTGATTTCTTCTTCCGTTTGTCGGTTCTGAGAATTTTCTTTGGGTTGCTATTTTGTTGTGCTAAACACGGTGATTTTTCTTTTTCTGTTGGGTGAATTAAACTTTTTTTAACTTTGGTGATTACTATGTGCCACACATATTATTTTTTGTTGGGAATTTTAATTTTGATGCCTCAATTTGTAAATGGCCTGGGGTTTGCAATTGATTTCTTGGTCTAGTTTCGTTTTATTCTGGAATGGGTTTCGTGTGGTCTCTAGACCCTATGCTAAATTTGCTTGTAAACCACGACGATAAAATATGCAAAATCTTTGTCTTTGGTTTGCATCCTCTTGGCTGGGTCCCTTCAGTCCATCCTTGAATATGATCAACTATCACGAGCTCAGTTGGTTGTTACTTTTTACAAAATGATGGATATTGGCATAGTTATTAATCGTGCTGGCTGCCACACCACACTATGGTTCACCATAGCTGCCGCAATTGGCCAATCACGGTGACCCGACAAGGAAGGGGGTTCAAAAATTCCATTTTTGCCCTCGATCTGATGTCCCAACAGTCACACTAAAGGGGTTAAATGGACTTTCCGGCGGCTGATAGGACTTTGCTGTTGCCCTATACCACTAACTGCTATAGCATTTTCTGGGGTTGGCTGCTGCCGCATTTGATAACTATGGCTATTGGTAGTGGAAATAAAAATCATGTTGTAACTTTTGATATATGAATAAAACTGTTGTTGAAGACTTTTGTCTTTTTTGTTTCGTATAGAATCCTTTTGGAAGAAAAAGGCTTCTTTGTAAATTTTCTTCTCATGTTTGGAGAATGTTATACCATAGCTGGATTTTTGCATTCATGCCCTCTTTTTTAAAAGACCATCCTTTAGTGCTTGGATTTTGTGTTATTGCACATAGTTGGATGATTGAACTGACAGTGACAGTTGTATTACCGAGTTGTCAATTCTTTGCTCTTCCTCTGCATATTTATATTTTCAAGAAAATTAATGTCCATATCAGTTACCTTTGTTTTCATTTGTTTCAGTTCTGGTAAGTGCCAAATTGTTCATTGGCGTCAAGGTCACAAAGAAGAATGCCATCCTCCCAGCCACAGGACTGATGATTTGGCAAGTGATCTTGGCAAGAAGGTAGCAGAGCAAGACTACTGTGCAAGCCATGATGAGAAGTCTCAGATTGAAAGCACAGAATATACAACATCCTCAGAGAAACCCCCATTATCCAATATCAGCTTTTCTCCCAAATTTTCATGTGCAAAGGATGATAACATAAGAGTTGAGTCTCTAGTAGAGGGAAATATTACAGACTCTAATTCTGAATTATCTTGTAACTCATTTTCTGGATTCTCGGCTTCCACTAGTGCTAGTGAATCATCCGATGATTCCTCTGTCTGTGAGAGTATCATCTCAAATGAGCATGAGAGATCCGACGGACATATTTTTGCTGATGCCACCAATGACATTTCTGATACCACTTCAAATGGTAATATCACGGGTGCAACCATTCCTTTGTCACCTAAGTTTGCTAGTTTGGCTGATCCAGTAGATGGTTTTTCTACAATGCATAAATTAAATAAAGTCAGAGCTGGTTTTGGTAAAGAAGAGAGTAAGCTCAGATCAAATGGTAGTTCCGGTTTGAGTATGCAGAAGGGGGCATCAATAGAGCCTTCTACTATGTCTTCTGGATTCTGGAATAGAATTATTGATTCGAGGGGGATAAAAGATGACGCTGATAGGGACCCTGTTCCATCCCACTCTGATGTTTCTCTTCCAAAGTCTATTGAGAACAATATACCATGTGCATGGTCAGCATCTTCCAAGAATGAAGGTGTTGATTATTCAGGTTGTGCAGATGCTTTGAGCATCCATAACTTGCATACAGTTGGTTCTAAGGTATCAAATCTTGTTGTGAACAACAATAGCAGCACCTTGAAGTCAGCTGAAATTAGATGTCAGCCACATGCATTTGCTGATACTAAGTTAGTTTCTAGAACTGAAGGGCATTTAGATTGCAGTACAAAATGTGGGAATAATGGCATCCAATCTGGCTTTTCTACTTCATCTCAGGTTGCTAGCTGTTCCCCAAATTCTAAGAATGGCCTGAAAACATCTGTTCTGAAAGTTGTTGATCAGTTTAGAGGATCAAATTTGTCTAAACACTTCCCACTAGCTGTTAGGAGTGATGTTGCTGGAAGATACAGTGACAAGGTTATTCTTGAACAAATCTTTTTATGTTCTTTTGTGTCTTAAGGAACTGTTATCTTACATTGTTTATTTGTCGTTGCTGCAGGGTCTTTTTCCATATGATTTGTTTGTCAAGCTTTATAACTGGAACAAAGTGGAATTGCGACCATTTGGTCTTGTAAATTGTGGAAACAGGTAATTTAAAATGAATTTTTTTTTATGAGAGATAGATTATTGGTGCATTATGTGTATGGGTTTACAATATGTTTATGATGCAATTTAACCGTGACTGTGCATTTTTTTTTTCCTTGCCATAAGGATCGTTTATTTCTTCCATATTATTAATTGATGGATGTGGATGGTTAGGTTGTTGAGTTGTCATATACAATCTTTATTACCCTTTCCATGTGTAGGATTTACCTTTTTATTTTCTTAACTTCACAACCATTTTGCAGCTGTTATGCTAACGCTATACTCCAGTGCTTAGCAGTTACTCCACCACTGTCTGCATATTTGCTTCAAGGGCTCCATTCTAAATCATGTATGTATGCAATCACATTTTCATCTTGGAATCACATGCCAAATTTTTTGAATACTATGCATAAGTGTTTCCCTGGGGTTAAAATCTCATGTCAAATCCAGGTACTAATAAAAAATGGTGTTTCACCTGTGAGTTTGAAAGTTTGATTTTGAAGTCAAAAGACACAAAATCTCCCCTCTCACCTATGGCCATACTTTCTCAACTTAAGAATATTGGGAGTGAACTTAGGAATGGAAGAGAAGAAGATGCACATGAATTTCTAAGGTGTTGTTTATATCTTTGAATCTATGTAATTTGATATTTCTCAATTCTTGTTTTGTATTTCACCTTAAGCTAATGAGTCATGTAACATTTGACAGGCATGCTGTTGAGACAATGCAATCTGTTTGCCTTATGGAATCTGGGGTTAATGCATCAGACTCTTTAAAAGAGGAAACTAGTTTAATGGGTCTAACATTTGGAGGCTACCTTCGATCAAAGGTAATCTTATGTTTTCTATTTGGAAAAATTATATGCAACTATCTGTTATGGTTTTTGCACCTTCCCCAGTTATAGGTGCAATAAAGTGTTGGCCTGTTTTCAAAATAGACAATGCTATTATTCCTGTCATCTAGCATCTGCTGATGCAAGTAAGATGGAGAATGAACGTAAACTGATACTATGTTGGCAGATCAAATGCATGAAATGCGGAGGGAAATCTGAGTGCCAAGAAAGGATGATGGATCTGACTGTTGAGGTAGAAGGGGAGATTGCAACCCTGGAGGAGGCCCTTCGACGGTTTACAAGCACCGAGACTCTGGATGGAGAAAACAAATACCACTGTATCAGGTTGATTGATTTTGAAGGAATCTCTGGAAAACTTTCAAAATTAACATATCATACTCTTGCTTTCAATATAACTCATAAGGTTAAAAGAATATTTTGGTGCTTACAGTTTTGAAATTGGGTGTGATATTTGTCTCTCTACTTTAGCTCTTTTTCCCAGTCCCAGATAAAAAGCAGGGTAGCAAAACAGATGTTTGGTCTGGTCCTTACCTGTTCTGGAAAGTTAGAGGGTATTAAAAATTGAAAAAAATTTACAGTTCAGGAGTGAGGTTATGATGGGGTAAGGGTGTTTTGTAACCACACTTATGGTGATGAAGGACTTGATTCTTAGCTGATTGGAAACTGCAAACAGTATGTTCATAAGAAGAGTTGGGGGATTGAGGGGTATCAAGGTTGATTTTAGTAAATGTGAAACTGGGTTTTGGAAGAAACAACTTCTGATAACTTTGTTCAGTAGATGTTCCGTCAGTATGACTTTAAATTGGATACTGCAGATTAGAAATTGAATTGAATAAGAGAAAAAATTTCATGGTTAGGATCCTGACACTGAGCAATCACATTAGAGGATTGATCACACTACATGTCTAACTATCCAAGAAGAGAGCAACCTCCCAAAATAATACTCAATATCTCATCATTGTTTTACCCCATTTTGAATGGAGTTTGCTGAATTAATCCTACTATCTATTTAGAATTACATGGATGCTAGTAAAATATGAACAAAACTACTAAAATGGTCATATTACTACAAAATAGGGGAAACTTATAAGTTCATAACAGTCGTAAGTTATTAGGTCTAATTAAGGTAAGGAAGGATTTTCATTACGTGACATGTGCCTAATTGAAAGAAAGAAAATACAAGAAAGGGAGAGATTGCAAACTGTATGTTCACTTGATCTTGTATTTCTGACTTAATGCTCGTAGGTTTATATAAGATCAGCTTGTTAAGCAAGCTTTAGTTTAACTGAATGTAACTGAAACAGTTAAAGACTGTTCGGTACAGTTGTAACTAATTGCCACATAGGCTAACAGACTAACTGCAAGGTTGCAGTTTGGTTACTCTAGGAGAATGCTGCATCAGACCACATAGTTAATGCAGTACATGGAGTATTTACTCTAATAGTGCCAAACTCTTGCTAAGATATGGAATGGCTTGTCGGATGGTCTACCTTTACTAAGGCTGAAAATCATACTTTGAAAATCAGAATAGTGTTTCATCGTTTAAATTGGAAGTTGAAACTCATTGCCTTTGTGTTTTGATTAAATCGTTTCTTTTTCCTTGTATATTTGTTTAATGGTTGTTGTCTTTATTTCTTTAGTTTGGTAATGCTCTTGAAACTTTCACATAGTACTTGTGTTACAAATTTACACCCACTAGAAAAACAACTTGGCTTTTGTGCCATTGATTTGCTAGACACCCTGTCAAATCAAATGGCGCATAGCTGTTTTTTATTGTCACTGCCATGTTGTGTCACTAGGTTTTCACCAAAGTTCAGTGTTCTATTGGCCAAAAAGAAAATAAAAAACCATGTGTTCTTGTTTCTCCATATATGTATAATATTGTTATATCATCTTTGGCATATTATTTGGAGTACTAAATTTTCTGTCTTTCAAAGTTTTTGTACTTGAAGGACTTTCCTTATTATTACTCAACTATTTCCATGTCAAGCAGGTGTAAATCTTATGAGAAGGCCAAGAAGAAAATGACAGTTTCAGAGGCACCTAATGTTCTTACAATTGCATTAAAGAGATTTCAGGTATTTCTTTTAAATTCACGGGCAATATTTTGCCTCCTTTCTTGTATGGAGATTTAATGTTTGTTACATGTGTTGCAGTCTGGAAAATTTGGGAAGCTCAATAAACCTATTCGGTTTCCTGAAATACTTGACTTGGCACCTTTCATGAGTGGGACTAGTGATTTGCCTATATACAGGCTGTATGGGGTAGTTGTTCACTTGGATATAATGAATGCTTCTTTTTCGGGTCACTATGTGTGCTATGTGAAGAATTTCCATAGCAGGTGGTTCAGGGTTGATGACAGTGTGGTACGTCTCTCAGTTTTACATTTATTTGCATATCTTGAGAGCTGATTTCTTTGGTTCTTGTAATTCTTCGGATTTATGTTTTTGCTTTCCTTAATTAGTAGCTCGTGGTCCTTTCTATAGGCTTTTAAGCTAAAATGAAATTCTATATTTTTATAAGCAACATTTGACTAAAAATTTAAACACATTAGCTTTGCACATTTGTTTGATTTTGTTTTTCTTCTTCCTTTTTGTATAAAAGATGACTTAAGAGTTGGTTATCGTCAATTCTATTATGTATTGTAGTCCAAACAAAACTCTTAACCATAGCACAATAGTACCTTGAATAACAGCATTATGCACGGAAGACAAATGATAAAGGTCAGGGCACCTGCCTGGAGCAGAAGTCAATGAATGAAAGCTCCCTTAGCAAATTTGCTCTGCACAGCTCTTTCTTCAAAGCTAAAGCTGTCAAGTTCTATGTGTGAGCATGTCTTCAAATCAGCATTCTACCTTCAGCACAATAGAACCGTGAAATAATAGCATTATGCAAGGTGGACAAAAGATAGAGGCAGGGACAGAGGTCCGCAAATGAAAGCTCCCCTAGCCAATTTGCTCCCAAAATCCTTTTTTCCGAGTTTAAACTCTCAATTTCTATGGGCGAATATGTCTTCAAGTCAGTGTTCTCTCTCTTTTTACCATTGATGAGACTTTACCACAAACTGTGAGTCTATGTGGATAACACAGCCCTCAGTTATGCGGTTGAACGTTTTCACCACCAGATAAACATTGACATTTACGTGATGTTCTAATCAACAATTAAACCAATCAAGTCAATGGAAGAGTTAATTCTGCGAAATGAGGATTCAACCTCCTGAGAGCTTGAGCTGTTCATGGAGTCATCCTTTATAAAACATAATGAAATCTGCAAAGCCCTTTGTGTGGTCATGGTAAATTCCATCATATGGATTAAACATACAAGACTTCTTTAGGTGTTGGTCACTCACAAGATTTATTGAGTTCGATCACTTAACTGAATTGTGGATTATTTTATATAAAGCCGTGGTTTTATCAATAAGGACAAAGGCTGTGTTTTATCTGTTGATATTTCCAATACAACTTTCCTGGAACTCATTTAACCATCTCTTCTATTTGTCTTACAGGTGACAGCTGTTGAATTGGAAAGAGTCTTGACAGAAGGAGCCTACATGCTTTTTTATGCTAGGTAACCCCATTTGATTTTCTGTCGTTTTCTTTTGGGTAATATCTTATTTGTCTATACTGTGTCAAGGTTTCTTTTAATATATATTGTCTCTCATCTCCTTCTCTGACTAGTTGAACCACCTTTTAGGTGCTCACCTAGGGCCCCAAGATCAATCAGGAACAGGATAGTATCATCAGATTCAAAAAACAAAGTCAATGGAAAAGCTGTTATGAAATCAAGATATGTATCGGCTGCTACTGAATGCATGACTAGTTCGATTTCTCCAGATGGCTCACCTGCCTTAGAGAAGACTATCTATTCGAAGTTTCACCACCTGAGGAGGATTTTGGAAGAAGACTCGTCAAGTGATAATTCATCCCTTATCAGCAGCAATTCTGATGAAGGTTCTTGCAGTACTGATAGCACATGTGAATCAACTAGTACTGATGACTTTGCAGATTATATTTTTGGTGATTTGGGACGTGGCTGGGATGGCAAGCTGAGAAATTCTGATTCTGACACTTCCTCTGCATTGCCATCTTCTCTATTGAACTCTAGACATTTGTCCCGTTCTGATATGGATCCATATGATTCAGTTTTTCCACATGCAACTGGGTTGCGACCACCTGAAACAGACGGTCTTTTGTACAGGAGCAGATCGGTGGTTGTTGAAAGGAGTAGGGGAGGTGTTTCTCATTTGCATCCTGACACTAAATATCACAGTAAGTTAGATACAAGTAGGAATAGCAGTAGTTTTAGGGAGAATGACTCTTTACAGAGAGCAGGATCCAACCATTTTAATGATATAAACTCTGGTGTATCTTGTAGAAAGTCAAGGGAAAGAACGGATTGAAAATTTTATCTGAGTACCGTATGAAGGATGGGAGCCCCTGAGCAGTAAATAATAACTAGGGATGCTCCACTTAATGTATTCCCGTAGGGTTCACCAAGAAAATTAGTCATCATCCCTTTAGCAATGATATAATTAGATGTAGATATGGATTGCTGTAATTTTTTTCTATTAAAAAAAATACCCAATAATTTGTTTTTTTAAAAAAATTCCAAACATTGAAATAAAGAGAAAAAATATATTACTCGTCTTTTGCTTCTTTTTTTTTTTTATTATTGGTTTAACTTTTAGGGAATAATATTGCCATTAATGTTCCTCCTACCTATGCCTAATTATCATAGACTCACGTAGAGAAAAATAGGAAAAACTATAGATAATTTCTGTGGCTTGAGAAGACGAGAAAATGATTTTTGTGGGTTACATCATTGTGTAAGGGTAGTGAAACGGTTGATTCGTTGACTTTTAACAGAGACACAATTGGTCGAATGATATTTTCTTGCACTGATGTTTATTTTCGCACACTGCTTTGTAATTTCACGTAGAGCAGTTTCTTAAATTAGTTTTTCTTTAACGGATTTGAATAAGTTTCTCAACTTCTAATTTCCCGTTGAGTATAGAAGAAAAATGAGTTCAAACTTAAAATAGGAAGGAACAAGCACTGGCTATGCTTTAGAGGTGTAAATGGGTCAGCCTGCCCAGCCCGGCCTACATTAAGCCTGGCTTGGCCCAGCCTTTTAGAAAAGTAGAGTAAGCTTAGGCTTTTAAGAAAGTTTTTTTAACAAATAAGCCGTAGGTCAATGTTGTCAAGTCTGACCCAAAGCCTTGTAGGCTGACCTATTTAATTTATTAAAAATAAAATAATAAAATAATATTTATTTTATGTGGCATGGCAAAGTACCAATACCAACCTTAATTTTTAGATGAATGATATTCTCTTGTAGATTTTATTTCAGCACCTAATAATTGTATTTTTTTTATTTTCTCCATTTCTTGGACTCTATTCCTCTATGATATACATTCTAAAGCTGGGGTATTATGTTGACTCTTTCTTATTTGTTATTTTTTTCTTATGAGAAGTACTAGTGCATTCATGAATGAAACTTTATTTGCTCTATACAATTATTTTCTTTACTTAGTATTTACAGTGGTAGGCCTACAAGGTCTGTAGGCCATGTTGGACTTTCTTATTTTTTAAAATAGACCGGATTTGGCCTACAAATAAAGCCTTTGATAGGCCAGTAAGACAGATAAGCTGAATTTTATTTTACATAGGCATGGGCCAAGAAGGTCAAAGTCCAGCCGAACTCGTTTACACCCCTAGCCTTATGAAATTTAATTGTTCTATCATACCATGATAACTAACCTAAACGCACATCAAGATAATACGAACTTTGGCAGAGTTCCACCTCCCCAAGGTAGAAGAGCCCAAATATCATCCTCTGCCCATATTGTTTGTTTCATAGGAAAGAACCGAAGCACGCAAAACAATAAAAGCAGAGCGGTGTGGTTGTTCTGTTCTGTTACGAGTTTGAGGTCATCAATGGCAAAAGAAGAAGATGAACTCTCCCTTCACCGATGCACCCACCTTCATCTTACATCGATTCTTAATGCTAAACATCATGAGCAAAAGGAGAACATGATGGGTATATATGTCTCTTTTTGCTTGTTTATGGAACCCTTTTTGCTTCTTCGTGGAATTTCCTCAAATCCATGCTTTCTTGGTACAATTTGCAAGCTCAGACAGTCATCAACCTCTGTCTGGTTCCTGCAATATATATATATATATGCATCGGTGCTTTGGTGATTGGTTCCTGCGGTTCTGGTGACATGGATCACCATCCTTGTGTTATTATTGGCTTTCTTTCTTTGGTTTATTTTCATATAATATATATTGTGAAACAGATATTTAATATACTGACTATATATATAACTTTGTACTCTCACTCAGTATCTTAATATATCTAAAAAAAAGTATTCGAGTACAACTTATTTTATTCGGTAACGGTCAAACAGAAGTATGTTGGTGAAATATTTTGATACGGGACAAATCGGTAATATTTATTTTAATTAGGGATAAAAGGGTGAACATTGACAATATATATTCACTATCTAAAACAGTAAAACATGCCATTATCAGCAAGAGCATAATAACAATTTTTTCAAAAGAATAAGGGAAGAGATAATGTGGACCCAATTTGTCAACTTGCTCCAAAAAAGGATAGGAAACCTCTAGGCCAAGTCTATTCAAATTCAAATTTCAAAGGGCAATGCGCATCCAATCCATAAAGACAAACAGGACTTGGAACTTTGTCCCTCTCTCTATTCTTTTCCTTTTTTGGTGTGGCAACTTACATGGCGTTTCCGTTTTTGCATCTTTCATTTCTCTGGTGCAAAATAATTGAATGATGAGAGAGAGTGGAAATAAGTGTCTCCATATTTGTCTGGTCATTGATGTGATAACTGATTATTATTCATAATCCATGTACACACTTAGCTATCTATTTGCAATTTTGCATGCGGTGGTTGGCCCTAATTATATATGCACTCTTTTATCTTACGGGTGCACACTTTTTTGTTATACAAATTCTTAAGCTAGCACTCGAGGTAGGGGGAAAAAATAAAAGCAAATCTTCAACGTTGACGGCGTGGGTATCAAGACCCATAACCTTACTAGCTAATACCAACCAACAAGATAATCATGAATGTCGTGTTCATGATTTGTTTCATGCAATCACTTCACCACTCAAATTTATGTGCACGGCGGATTCAGCTCATTTATTAAGTTAGGGCTAATAAAAATTTATGTGAGATTTAATCCTAAATTTTTATTCAGAAACTTAAATACAATTATTTAATCACGTTTTAATTTTCAAAACCAAGCTGGGCATCCACAACGTGACTCGCCACTATTTCCATGTAATCTATTTTACAATTATTGTTTTCTTTAAAAGCTAGCTAGATATATATATATTTCTGTTCATGTTTATAATTTCCTGCAGCATGTATCAAAATTCATTAATTTGGTGTGGGATGATTCAAACCTATAAATCGCACCTAATAATTGTAATTAAGCTTAAGCTAGCTGAATAAAAAAGATAAAATGGGTTGGTAAAGGATCTATAATGTGCAACCCAAATGGACAAACCTGGAACTTTTGAAAAAAAAAATTGTGGACGTCGCAAATAACTCGCTGACACTGAAGCAAAAAAGTCAATATAAAATGAGACATCAATCATTAGGTTTTGCAGTGCGCAAAACGAAAATGGGAATGGGATATCTGTACCCAAAGTAGGGTTGAAAAGTTGAATTGGTAATATGTGGTAGCAACGATCAAGGAGGATCCCACCCATTATGGGGGATTTTGCTCAATTTCTCTTAGTCAAAGATGCATAGCTTATACCAAGAAAGTCCAGTATAGTTGATAGATAGATAGTTGAATTTCTTAAGCATGCTGACAGGAGGTTTCATTTCTGACCATGTATATGGAAAATGATTTGTTAGAAGAGATTTACCCACCCACTTAAAAGGGATTAGTGTTCGACCGTCGACTGGAGAATAACTTTGAAAAAAAACAAAAAGTTGCATAGCTTACCGGCTCCCTCCTTTTTATCTTGTAGCTATCCGTTTTCCTTTGTTCGTCTTCCTCACGCCACTCGCCCTACGGATTTGACTTTGCTAGGTTTGTGGGTGTTGAAAAACATGATAATAAAGAAAATGGAGAGAAATGTGAATAGACAACTGTGAATTTGATTGAAACGATGAAATTAAGCAAGAGCAACAGATAGCCGAATCTATCTTTATAATAAAACTATATATACATGTACCACCTTTAAATGTATACTTGTAACACCTTTATAAGATAGAAGATATGTATTTTGCATTTCCCGTTTAAGATGAACAATATATGGAATCTATCACAGTCAATTGGCATTGTGCTGTTATTTGGATATATAGTATTGTTAGTAAAAAACTTCTTAATTTAGATGTATAATTACCAAAAGATATAGCTTTATCTCTTGGGATAGATAACAAAATAATGTTAAAAATCTGATTATTATTATTTTTTGTTAAACCACAGTTATTCTTCACGATAATCAATCATGTTCAAGGTGGGTCTAAGATTAAGCTTTAAATTCCTCCCAAAAAGAATACTAGAGAGTAGCAAACATATGCTCTCACTCTCACATATTCAGCTTTCTTACGTCGACTGAGCTACCATCATTTAATTAAAATTAATATATGATTGTTAAAAATTTGATTGTTAATGCATATACATATATACTTAATTTTACTCACTGCAAAAGCAATAAAATATCAGTTTTATGTTGAGGGGTCAGAATCAAGTTTATCTTAAATTTGATTTTGTCTTTAACATTGTCAAATTGTCACCCTGTTGGAGGAAAAATTTCTAAATCAACTAACATTTGTCAAACCAAAAACAACATTAGTTGTTAAATGCATTATGCTATTTTCGTTAAGCTAAAGCCAAGCATGATAACGGTAAATATTTACATTTGAATTTGATAAAAAATATTAAAATTGATTGAATCAACTATTTAAAAAAAAAAAAACATATATAATTAATAGAGGTCCTTTCTTTCTTTTGTCATAGATATTAATTGCTGTCCGAAATCTTGATGGATTCGACTAATTCAATTTTGGATTTGAGCATTTTCACCTTCTCAAGAATTACGACTCTCAAGAATAATAATTAATAAATATATATTACATACTCAAATCAAATTTATAAAATATCAGTTTAACTACGTTGAGAATCTACAATCAAATTTTATTTTATCAGAGATTTTTATGAAAAACGTGAATTTATTTAATTTACGTTGTATAAATTACGGATAGACATGTAAATTAAAAGAAAGAGAATTCCCAAACACTCAAACTGTAAACAAATTGGGGAACATATATCTATCCCGATCAAGTTTGATTAAATACAAATTCAAATTCAAATATAAATATTTTATAATTTACTATAGCGTGGTACGTATCATATTTATGCATTATATATTATAGCTGAATTATGTACTTTTATATATTTTATTTTTTAGTTAATTGTTCTAATTTATACAATACATGTATATAGACTTAAAATTTAGTTTTCATGTATTATCAAAGTAAAAAATATATTTTTGAGTGCCTTTCGAATATATGCTGTCAAGCAGTGGCGGACCTGTGTATGTTTTAGTGTTTGCAAGTGCACACACAAATTTTTTAGAAAAAATAAAATAAAATATATTTTGAGTCATGAACAAAAATCACATAATCCAATTTAATCTCTTAAAAAAAAGTTGACTCGTGATCACTTTAAAATCTAATGGGTCAGTCCTTTTGAGGGATTAATGTGGATTTTTTTAAATTTCGGAGGACTATGATTTTGATTAGCTGAGCTTATTTTTGAATTCTGAGGGATTACGAATAGACTTTTTTTTTCCTAAGAGATTAAATTGAGGCCTGTAATTTTTATTGAGGACCCAAAATGTCCTATTGTAACAGTTTAGTTGACTCTTGATTACTTTTTTTATATTAAGTTAAAGTTTTTTTTATATATATTCTTTTGTATCTTATAATATTTAAAATTTTCTTTAAATTTTTTTTCTTTTATTCTTTTATTCTAAGTGTGCAGACATTAAAAAAAAAAATCTAGGTCCCCTATTGCTGTCAAGTCATTTAATGAATTTGATATTTTATATAGTTATTAACATTACAAATTCATTAAATGATATAACACCTCATCGTTAAATATGAGTATACATTTTTTTATTTATTGTGTATTAAAATTAAAATTATGAACTAATTTTTATAAAACATTTGTACATCTACAGCTTCAAAGTATAATGATAATTAATTAATGAACCAATACAAAAATATAAGCATTAAATATATTAAGATGAAAAAGAATTTAGTATTTTTAAAAAAGAATTTATTAAAGAATACTAAATATATCTTCTTCTTTTTTCTTTAAAGGTATTATGAAATAATGTTTGATGAATATTAAATATTTCTTAAACATGTTATGGTCCTAATGTGAAAGGCCCACATTCTATAAGACTTAAAAAGGGCAAAGAGAAATTTAATGAAAGATTTCCTTAATTAATATTAATCCTTGAACCCCTAAATTTCACCAAAGGTCCAAAATTTCACTACCCACATACTCTATATAAATAAGAGGTAAAACCTACAGGTATGACACTTACTTTCTCTCTTATTAGTTGTCATTGTGCACACACCCCATGTTTTAGCTATGCCTTCTTCTATTATGCATAGTGATCCGCTAATCTCTATAACATATCTTCCTCATAAATACTTAAGAGATGGTCCTAAAGTAATTTACTAATCCTTTAATTAGACACCTCGATCTGCACAGATCGAACATTGGTGTCATTTGACGAGCCAATCACCTCCCGTAATTTTGCATCAATATTGACCGGCGCGACCATGACCTGGTTCTCGAAGCTACTGCCAAATTCGATTGGATCTTTCGAAGAGTTTGCAGACAAATTTCTCCTTAATTTTGACACAAGCAAAAAGCATCTGATGCCATAATTCACCTTAAGAGCACTTAGACAGGAGGAAGATGAGCCCTTCCATAAGTACTTGGACCGCTAAAGAATTTTACACTTAACCACCTCCAATTATCTTGTCCTACAATTAACCCCTCATAGCAACATGGAGTTTAAGATAGAATGAAACTAATCCCTATCAAAACTTACCACGAGGAAGTTTCATCTTTAACCCTAATACCCGATCTTTAAAGCACATTCCACTACCTAAGGGCTAAGTGTGGTGTGCCACCCTTGGTTTTGAATCACCCTTGTTAGAAATCATATTCAGCAACTAATAATGATTAATTGGCACTTGCGGTTAAAAATCTCTATTTTCAATTTTTTTATATTGAAAATCCCCTTTGTTCCCATTTAAATGTTGTCAATTCCATGAAACACATATATGTTAGAATTTTTTATAATTATCATGGGCTTCAATCAATTGTAGTTTTTATTGTTTTGATAAAAATGAGCTAAGTCATGATCCATATGGAGGTGCATATAAAGCCCATTTAATTAAGCGATTCTTTGGTTTAGGCTTGGATATCTGTAAACCAGTGTTATGAAACTCGGACCGACCCGGCCGGGTCGACTCGGGAACCGGTAAACCGGTCCGATTGAAGCAACAGACCGGTCATGCATCAGAACCGGTGCGACCCGGTCTGACCCGACCGGTTTTCATGAAAACTAGTGACCCGGTCGGTTAACTGGTGACTCGGCCCGGTCCAAAAAAAAATTATAATAGACATTTTTGAATATTTTTTTTGCTTATTGACTTACATAAGTTATGTACCTACAACACTAAAATTATCTCAATTATGCACTATGTAGAAAATTTTGATTTGATTTATAGTTAGATATGTCATTTTCTAAACCTAAAGCCACGTATCACCATCATTATATTTTTGTTTGATCTTTTATTGGATAATAATATGTGATTTATTATTTTTTATATTAAAATATGTGAAATATTTATCATTTTTTTTTTAGATATTTGAGTATATTTATAATTTTTTAATATAAATTATAAAATTACATATAATTACCGGGTCATGCGGTTGAACCAGTGACCCAGTACCTCGACTGGGTCAATGACCGGGTCGATTTTAATAACATTGCTGTAAACTGATTAGTGTGTGTAACAGAGTAGACCTAATACATAGGCCCATGATGAAAAGTGGACTAGGGTTAATAAGTTTGGCTAGGTCTCATCTGCATTTACAGTGTGTTGAAAAACCGTCGCTCCACAACTTACCTCCCATAGAAAGTTGTGAACAGAGAGTGATGTGAATTGTAGAGGAAGATCCTGGTCTTTCCCACTTTGCAGGAATGTTAGAGCAAACAAGAAGCTAAAAGCCTTCAAGAAATTAAAAATCATGTCTTCAAACAAGTAAGCATAAATTTTTTGGTGTTCTAATTTCATATAATCCCATTATGTGATTTCTTACAATATACACTTTAAATTTAAAAAAAAATGTAAGCAATTCAATTAGCAAACTAAGTTGTGCAAGAGATTAAAATCTATTAAAAATACTTTATAATCCAACTAAGATTTTAATCCACCCTGACCCTAGCCATCTCAAGAGCATAGCAAACGACCCAGAATTTTTTTTTTGTGGGGGACGAAAATAAAATTTTTATATTATAAACAAAGATTAATACAAATAAAATACTTGAAAGGATTTTATTACAAGATTCAAGGTCATTTCACTTAATTCTTGCTCTAAGATTTTTCATATTGTTAAACTCCTTTATATTTGAATCTGTGCTAAAATTCAAAACAATTTCTTTTTTACTATATGTATTCAAATAATCATCAAGAAATTCGTTAGTTTGAAGTTAACATTTGGACAAACAGATTGTGGAAAAAGAAAATAACTCGTAAACCCAAACCTTAGTTTCCATAAACACACTCATTAAGCAACACCAAAATTGGAGAAGCAGCTAAACACATCCGTTGTGATCGGTTTGCAGTTTGAAATATATATAGAAAAAAAATTAAATAATAATTATTTTGACACAAGAAATTTTTGTGCTATATAATAATTGGTTGTGATTTGAAAAAAAGAATCCATAGCATGAAGTACATTATTATTTATTGTATAACACAAATTTATGTAATTTTTTATATAAAATGAAAATGTATTAATTACTATTTATTGGTTTGTAGGCAATTACAGTAAACACAAGAACAAGAGAAAGAATTCAACTGGGCTTGGAAGTGCAAACAGACCTTGAGAAAGCTAGCCATAATTTTTTTGTCTATATATATATATATGAGCATATCGTTTCTCAAGCTACTTGAAATAATCTTATTTCCGGCTAGCAAATCATAACGGTATAAAGATGGATCAATGTTGATAAAAGAAGAGAGAGAAAAGAGAAATCGTAACCATTCAAAGGTAAATCAATTAATATAAATAAATAAAATGACGTAGTTTTAGAGTAGTCGAAGAAAAACTTATATCAAGTTGCTTGAGAAATATTTTTCCATATATATATATATATATATAAGGCATGATCATTTAACAATAGTGTCAAAATTAAAAAGTTGACTCTGAGGACCGTCAGATTAAGACAAATTATAAATCAAAGTCGTTGAATTAAAATAAGATCAATGACTCTTAGATGAGATGTCAAACTTTAGATTTGACACTAATATCAAATGATCACACACATATTAAGAAAATTCAAAATTTAGGGAGAGACAATGCCTATGCTCTAGAGGATGAGAACATTTGATTATCTTAAAAAGAAAACAAAAGCATAAACAAACATAAAAGCATTAAATAACGCGAAAGTCTTTATGTTTAAAATGTGGATATTACACAACGAAAATCAAATTCGTAAACCTATAATCACTTTAACTTTAATATTATAATAAACAATCATTTAACTTAAAAACTTAAATTAATAAATTATGAGTTTTATATAATATCCCTCTAACAAACTTCATGTTATCCAAAAGGATCCACTGAGGCCACAGAATTATAGTTGTTTTCTTATCAAGAAGAATGAGGGCATTAAATTAGTAGACGGATCCACCGTACGGCCTCGGCATTAATGAAGACCGATGCACCATAATTTTCTATTCGAAAGTCTAACACACGATATGTACAGAAGATTACAGGTGACACATACAGCATTGATATCAACTAACAACGATACACATGACCCCGTGACTATTCAAATTAAATTCCAAACTGTTAAAAAAAGCCAACCTTCCGCTTATAGAGAGCTCACACATGCGTGTCAAATTAACAGGCGAGATGCATTCCCTAGGTAAATTCCATGAAACACAAGAAAACAAAATTCGATACATTCAATTACTATTAAGACCCCACTGTGAGTGTGAAGCAATAAATTACAGAGATTGCATACATGCATGTCGAAATTACTATTGACGTCATTTTAGGAATTTTCAGTACCATCTGCGTTAAGAATAAGATTCCAAAGTGATGCAATAAAAGATGGCGCAGTTTATATTTATAAACTTTTTTATTTACAAATTACACTATATTCTCTTGGGAGAATACAAACTTTTATAAACTACACTATGTTCTCCTGGAAGAAGATAGTATAATTTATAAAAAAATTCAAAAAAATTTGTAAACGGGATCCTGTTCCATAAAAGATAATGCATAATAATAGTAGCTAGCAAGTGTTCAATTCCAATTTCCAAGTTACAAACTTACAACTTGGCTTTTACTTTTCAAGCTTCCCTTTGTCCTTAATTGACGTGGGAACGGGAGAGAGAGAGAGAACCAAGAAAGACAAAACAAAGTACAGAATAGATCGGATATAAAGTGTAACGAGATGAAAAAAAAAAAAGCAAAGGAGGGATTTTTCATAAGAGCTTTAAATAAAGAACGTAGAGGATACGGCAACGCACCAAGATGATGATGATGATGATGCTATTGAAAAGAAACTGGCACGCACAACACAACCCTAGCCACGTTCTCAACTGCCATACACTCTTTCCAAATCAAGAAAGCTATTTACAGTAGCAGTCAGCAACTATAGCCACTTAGTCAGTGTACGTTATCTTCATCCAACGAAGCTCCAAGCAGGCCCATGGGCTCTCTGATACACTGCAAAGCACCATAGTGTACACATATATTACCAGTCCCAATCTGAAAGCAAAAAACCATTATCCCATAACCACCCCTACACACACACATACACTTTCCATTTTCGAATCAAACAAAAACCCTCTATGGAAATTGGAAACTCAAGGCTAAACAAACCAAAAACAATCTACAATGTACCTAGATATCCAAATGTGGCCCCATATTATTACCAGTATGTAAAGAAAAAACAACACACAAGAGAAAGGGTTGCTTCTGGACGTTCCAGGTATAACATAAAGTCATAAACAATTAATGGACGCAAGTTATATCAAATTTAAATTAACTAAATTGTTCTCTTTTAATTACGAAGTCACGTTGACACAAAAACAAATTTTACACACACAATATTTTGTGAAACCTGTATTTTTTAAAACAAAAAAATAAATAAAAAAACTAAGACACACGTAACGAATCTCTATAACATTACAAAATCATTTCCTTATAATATAACTCTTATAAAACCTATAGTTTTAAATACAAAATAAAGTAATACCATCGTGCAGTTAAACCTGAATTAAGTTCTGGTTGGCTTCTTTCTGCCTCAAAAAATTAAAAAATAAAATTAAAAATTTATTTTCTTAGGAGCAAATCCAAAATTTCATAAACAGGCACTACTCTTATCTCTAAAACCAATGTTTCTATTTGGAACTAGAGCTAAATAAACTTACAGCAACGTAACAGAAGAAGAGAGAAAAAAAAGAAAAGCTGCAAGAAATAAAGTTACAAAAAGTGATTGGTATCAGAAAGGTGGTCTTGCAGTTGGAGCCCAAATCACATCGGAAGGAAGGTGACAGCTGTACATACACGACTCAGCATGGACATGACCACTCTCCGCACCGCCACCGGATACCAGTGGCGATTTCACATCGCCACCGCCGGAGACAGAGTTGTTTTGCACGTCCTCTTCCGATGGCAGCCTGTGATACGATGGGTTGTTGAACGAAGCGGATGTCACGAAAACCGTCCCCGCGGCGAGCAAACGGCCTGCGACGATTCCTCCGAAGATCTGCCCCTGAGGTCCGGCGAGGGAGATGGAGAAGTTGTTCGGGACCGCCGGCGAGGCTCCCGGTTGGTTGTGGAGGAGGAAGGTGGCGGATAGGGAGAGGATGTCGAAGCGGCCGTGGAAGGTGACGATGGCGCCGGGAGTGGTGGAGGGTTGACGGAGGGTGACGTTAGCGACGGTTCCTGAACCGGTTAGGACGCAGAGGCCCGTGTTGTTGCGGCGGCTGAACCGGGCTATGGACTCAACGACGTCGCTTCCTCCAGGGACTTCAAGAATGTATGGGCTCATAGCGGGCTCGGGCTCGCGAGTTATAATTAATGACGGTTTGGGCTTGTTTTTGGACCCAGGTGGGCGGCCCCTGGGCCGGCGCACGACCTCAATGGTGGCTTCGTCACCACCTCCGCCGCCGCAGAGGTTCTGGGCGGTGGAGGGGGTGAGGCCACCGCTGCTGCGGCTGTCGTCATCCTCGGAGGTTTGGCAATCCCGGGAGAGTTGGAAAGGGTGCTGTTGTTGTTGTTGTTGGTGCTGCTGCTGCTGCTGCTGGTGTTGGTGAAGCTTTGAGAACATGTTTTTGGAGGTTCAAGCTTTTTTGGTTATTGATATGCGTGTTCTACTTTCATTGTGTGTGTGTGCAGAAAAGTACCCAATCCAGTGTTTATGATTGGCGTAAGATTTGGACTTTGGAGGGTTCTTGTCCTTGTGATAACATGCAGAGTAGGACCAGGGATAGAGACGAAACTTGTAGAAGAGAAGAGGAAGAAAAATAGAGGCACGCCAAACAGAAGAGAAAAAAAGGTGTGTGGATTTGTTTATTAATCAATGGTTGTGGATTTGTTTATTAATCAATGGTTGTTTGTTTCTATGGAGAGAGAGAGAGAGAGAGAGAGAGAGAGAGAGAGAGGTGAGGTGGGTGAGCTTGGAAATCAAGTAAAGACTAATGGCGCCGTTGGTTGGAGCAGAGTGGGGTCCTACACCGACAGATAAGACAGATAAAGAGATAGAAGTTGAAAGAAAATTGGAGAATAGAAATTGGTATTTCTTTTAACTACCAAAAAAACAAATTGGTATTTCTTTCGGGAATTTGCCAATAAAAATTTAACTGTTGACATTACGACAATATATTTGTAATGAATTAAGAGCATGGTTACATCCTCTATTTTTTAAATTAGAAGTTATTTATAAATTAAAATTAAAAAAAGAGCTTAATATAAAAATTAAAATTTATTTGATAATTACATAAAAATTTTAGTTTAAAAATTACTTAAAAACACATATTTTAATAAAATTATCTTTTCCTATCTTTATAACTCTATATTTAAAAAAAAAGCACACATTTATTAAAATATATATATATAATTTAAAAAAATCAGATAAGAACTTAAAATAAAGTTCTTCCTAAGAACTTTTAGCTTTCAGTTATTTTTTTCATTATAAAAAAAAGAGTTTTTCATTACAAAAGCTTTCCTCAAAATTTATTTGGCCTAACTTATGCTTATAAGTAATTTCAACCTTAAAAAAGAGAGAATTCAAACAAGCACTTGGATTGGTATTTATTTATTGGATTTTATTTTTTTTATGTCACATAAGAGAAATTTTATCTCTTACTCTCACTTCTATTTTTGTGCTCTATTTTTTTATTATTTTTGAAAAATAAAGTGGATCCACTATTTGTTATGAAAGTAAGAAAAAAAATTGATCGTATGTGACATAAAAAAATAAAATTCTTATTTATCACGACAATAAAAAATTGGTATTTGTTTATTTATTTTTTAATTTACTATTAAGATTTTACATTCCATCTTTTAAATTTATGAGTCAGTCAGTCTGGTAAAGATGAGTGTACTGTAGGTACGCATTGTGTTAGCTGGCCCTGACCTGAGAGTTTGATGAATTGATAAGGACTGCTTTGATTCATAGAGTAGGAGTACTGGTGTGTGTGTGTGTGTGTTAGCCTTTTGGTCGCAGACATACTTTCAATAAATTCAAAATCTTGGGGTGGCTTGCTTTGAAATGAAAACCTTCTCCTAGATTCCTCCATACGAAATTCTAAAAACTGCTTTAGCAAATTCAAACCCTTAATCATTTTGGTTAAATAGTTCTGATTTGGCGGTTTGTGTTTTTCCTTTTTAAAGAATATTTATTTTAGTAAATATATATTTAATAAACTTTACTATAATTAAATAAATGTTTTCATAAATATAAAACTGATAAATAATAATCTGGACTAAAAGTTTAAACTAATAAGTGATGGTCTTTAATAATTTTATATTATATCATTTTAACACATCCTTTTATTTGGACTTAAAAGAATAGATATTGTATAAACTTATTTTTTTTACTACCTTATGATAATTTAATTTTATTAAAAAATTAGGAGGATGAGAATCCAATTCTTAACTTTATATTTACCTTGACTCTAATATTATGTAAGATTGTAAGCAACCATCTCACACAATAATATAATTTAATTCCGCGATGATCGTTGATAATTTTCTGTCTGCCATTGACTGAATCAATGGACAGTGTTGTTCTTGATATAAGTGTGGTTCATAACAAGCCTCTGTGTCCACTCATGCATGAATGGAGGAAGTTGCCATAACATATTCTAAAGTTCAGCTAATTAATAAATGGGTTTTACAAAAGTTATGTTGTAGAAAAATTAAACTTGTTATGTTCTAGAGATTCATTTTTTGTGTCTTAGATTTTTATTTTTATTTTGCTTCAAAAAATGTGTGCCCCACAAAATATTGTATGTGTAAGAATCTTTGTGATTATTATGTGACATGATGGATGCAAACCCCTTAATAAATATCTTCATGAAAATTTTTAGTATTCTGTAACTTATTTTATTTTTATTATCTTTTTTTTATATATATTTTTATTATCTTATATTGGAAAAGTGTTTGTCCTTTTAAAGAACACAAACTTAAGTATTTTTACAAAAGAGATAGGCACAAAGAGATTGGATTCACATCTTTATTTTATTTTTTGTCTTTATTTTTTCAATAAGACCCATATTTTTGTGTGTTTATCTCTTTTAGAAAACCTAAATTTATGCCTGACGCATATTTCCCCATATTATATTGTTTATATCTTTTATCATCAAACCGTTTTAATTTTATTGTATAACTATTACATTATTGCATTACTCTCTTTTTTGGAAACTGATTTTAATTATCTCTTTGAGGCGAATCAGAACCCTCGGTATCTCCACGGGTTTGACTCTTTGAGCCGCCTATGGGACTAATCCAGAGTTCGGGTGTGAGTCCAAGGATTACGGTACTTATGCCCTTCCCCAGATGATGTTGGTGGGATTCGAACCGAGGTCCTCTCCCACCACTCAGTCCCCATGCTACCAACTGAGCCACCACGCTTGGTATTATTGCATTACTCTTATAATGCCTTGCCATGATCAAGTAAAAAAAGCATTTTATCTTATCTTTCATTTAAAATTGATGTATATATTATTCTAATTTTTACAAAATATATATATATATATATATATATTGAAGTAGACACATTTATGCTAGACCGCCCGGATATGTATGATGGTTCTGTCTTCTTAAAATCTCCTTATGGATTACTATTATTTTTGCTTGCGGACTCCTCAGCCACTCCTCGAATTAGGGATTTCGGTTGATTATTTTTTGTTTGTTTTCTGCTTTTTAGCTTTTCTTACACATTACATAAATGGGTATAATCATTTTATACCAATATAAATCGTACTCTCAATTTTAATCGTTAATTTCACTTGCATTTAACGATTCCATGGTTAATAAATTAATTAAATCCATTCAAGTAAAATAATAATTAAAATTGGGTATAAGATTTTCCATTTTTTTCAACATAGATTCAGATAAGAAAATCCAAATCACTTGAACATATGCACAAATATATGTCATAAGAATCTAATATAATTAGTTATGTTATTTAAACTCCAAATTTTGGCTTCACAACCGCTACTATTAGATTGATAAAATTGCTAATATTAACATGTAACTTTTTTCAGGTATGTTAACTTTAAATTCTTGTATAATGACATAGTATTTTAGGTTTAGCTGTGAAACAAATTAATTAATTTTTTAATATAAAAATTTCAGGTTTAATCAAAGCTTTCCTTATTTCAAAGATTAACACCAACATTAATAATATTTTTATTTTAAATTAACTGGAGTCGGCAGTCAATGAGGCAAAAAATAAAATAAAATTAAAGACGAGACAAATTAATATTAACGATGAATTACAGTAGAACTAAAAATTATTTTTCATAATTTTTTTTGTTTTAAATGCAAATCAGGCAATTCTCATGAGTAAAAAAAATTGACTGAATAAGTCAACCTATTACCAAATTGATTAACAAATATATGGAATATTTGAAGGCGTAAGTAATATTAAACCTTGAATAATAATTCACAAGATACTACTTATTAAATATTAAATCGATAATTGGATCTTAATTAATAAATTTTTACTAATCTTTTTAAGAGTTAGACTTTATTAGAGTCTTACTTTTTTCATGAAAAGCTAAGTTGAAAATGTTACTGAAAAAAAAAAAGGTGGAAGTATAAGGAATTGCACTCCGAATTCATCAAAGTTGAATAGATTGATGCCTCTAAAATTTTCACTGCTCTTTTGACATGTGTAAATAGAATAGGGTAAACCACTAAAATATGCATCGTATGGACCCCAGACTTCTAATCAATTTTAAGATTTAACATCTCTCCTGTCATTCAACCATAATTGTAGGTGCTTATCTTATCTGTCATTTGAGATGAGTTGGTTCGACGAGAAAGCCTTGTATTAGTTGGCAAATCTGAAATCTTTATATTAGTTCACATCCTGGACTAAAAAATATTGTTTTAACTTAATTCGATAAACTCAAACAGTTATTAATAATGGGATAGGATATTGTGACACCCAAGTTATGTTACACTCATGTGACACCCAGTCAATCTCACCGTTAGATCGCTTATGTTGATCCAACGGTTATATTTATTTTCATCTTTGTATGGTCATGATTTCCCAAATTTAAAGTAAAAGCATTAAATATGGGAAATCATAACCATACAAAGGCAGAAATAAATATAAAATATTAAATTTGGGAAATCATGACCATACAAAGATGGAAATAAATATAACCGTTGGATTAACATAAGCGATCTAACGGTGAGATTGACTGGGTGTCACATGGGTGTAACATAACTTGGGTGTCACAATATCCTATCCCATTAATAATTTACAAATATTTTTTTAAAGAATGATGTGAATTTGAATCATTCATTGCATAAGAAGATATCCAGGTGTATAAATTTTTCGTCAAGACAAATTTTTTGTTCGTAATTTTTTAAAAATAATGATATCTGATTTAATTCATTTTAAACAGGGAAAAACTATTCTTATGTTACATGATATAAGTTTTTTCTCTTACACATCTTTCGATAACTGTGCCACTTTTTTCTTTTCTTTTCTTTTATTTTTTCAGATGGTGGAGCCTACTAGTTTATCTCTATGACATGAGATTAATAAAATCCTTTTAAATATTTATTATTATTATTATTAAATTGGGTCACTCATCACTTAAAAGACTTATTGTAAAAGTTCTAAGCTTGACCCTTTTGATTAAGCATTTTTTTATAAAGTTCATATTTCATAATGAATTAAATTAGGTCATATCTAAAGAAAGAACATAATCTTCTCATTTGAGTAAATAAAAAGTGTGGGATAACATGTAGGAAAGAAAGCCCATGAATAAAAGTCCAGGGAAACCGAAATTCAAAAACTAGGTCATTTAACGATATAATACCACGTAACTTGAAGATAAATTTTTATAATTGGAGTTAAATTCAATAGTATT